TTTTGGAGTTTATTTGAGCCAAACTGTTGTAGACACTTGCCAGGAAGCAGAATCTCAACGGATTGAGATAATGCTCCTGAGAAACGCAGTTTTGCACCTTGTTTTATGCTTTACAATCAAAAGAGGAGACATAAGTGGGTTACAAGAAATCCATCGATGATTGATTAGGGAGGCGGGAGAAAGCAAAGTGGGAAACCTCTGGGGCTGGGTGAAAAGTAAAATGATAGACACATACTTTTACTTAGGTGTGCGCAGGATAGTTAACAGTCAACAATTAACACGGTAACAATGATAACAGTGAGGGGTCTCAGCTCTGTGCTTTGAGGGCCCTGAAAAGGGGGAAATTACTTTGTTTTGCAAAGGCTGTTTTAACCAGCTGTGTTATCACAGGTACAAAAAGACAACGACAGAGTTAAGGTGAAGATTAACCTTTGTTAGGGAAAAATACTGCCTTAGGGTGTGACCACCCTCGATAAACTGCTTATGTTTAAAAAGTTTTCATTGGAGACCATCCTTTGTGGTTCCTTTAGGTCTGCGTTTGCAAGGCAGCCACACAGGCCTTCCCTGAGCTTGTCCGGTTAGCCTGTGGCCCCTCTTCATCCATAGGATTAAAAACGTCTACCTTTCATTTGGTGAAACTTGTATGAAGTCCTGTACATAAAGTACTTTTCGCACAGTAGGTGCTCTGTAGATGGTGTCATTATGAATGATTAGCTAAAAATTTCAAAGCAAGGGAAAACAATGAACACTCGGATTTAAATTAGGGTCTTTTCCTATGTTTGTACGGTGCAGCCGACAGGGACTGGAGTCAAGCTCCTTGGTTCCCAGATGGGAAATCTGAGACTTAAAGAGACAAAGAAGCTTTGCTTCAAGTCTCAGAGCTAATCAGTGTAAACCAGTAACCTCTTAATTTTCAAAAAGGGACCAGGGCAGGGTTTTTCTGATGAGGGGCACTGAGAGTAGAGCTAAGAATAACCCTTTAGGAAACTTCTGACTTACAAAACAAGAGGCTCAGTAGCCAAGGAAAACAAGCGAGGATTTTTTCCTCAAATCCAGGCACATTTTCCCCCGTTACCAACTGTCCGCAAACAGCCTGGCTGCGTTCAGGAAGAGCTGTCAGTCACCAGCCCGCCTGTCCGGCACGGTTTCTTCCGCTTTGGGAATTCACCAGAATTGACTCATTTTCAAGATATTCCCATTAGTTTGTTCTTAGATCCCAAAACAGAAAAAGGAAGCTTCAAGATAAGCTTCTGCCAAAGAGGAAGCAAGGAAACACATTAAAATTGTCTCAGCATTATCTAGAAAGTTTAGAAAGGGGAGTTAGTGGAATTCAATCTCTCCTCTAATTCCAGAGGTGAAAAGAGATTAGCCTCAGGACACACGTATGTCACACGAGCAGCTACAGACCATTTACTTTCCATGTACAAGAATCCAGAGCACCCACTCACCCTTCCAGTTCCTTGTACCTGCCCAGCTGTTACCGATGGGGGTCCAGCCTTCCAGTAGAGAGAATGTCTGGATTACCTGCAATTAATCCGGCATCTATGACTGAGCACCAGCCACTGGGGCTTCCTGACATTCTCCCCCAAATTAGGCGGCCCTGGGCCATTACAGCTCAAAGCGTGGTAGGATCTGGGCGTCCACATCAGAATCACCTGAGATATTCATTTGAAGTGCAGATTCTTGGGCCCCACCCAGACCTATTGAGTCAGACTCTGGAGACACGCATTTTAAATGAGCTGCCCAGTTAGTCTTCTTCAGAGGCAGGAAACCTGAGAACGCCTCTCGTCCCCCAGGTGTGGGAGCGCAGACCAAGAGAACACAGGGCTCCTACCTGACTCAGATCTCCTAAGGTGCCTATGGATCCCAAATGAGCCAACAAGCCTTCCTGGGGAATGGATTTAGAAGGAGCCAGGCCAATTTTCCATCAACTGTGCCCGTAGGTTGATCAGACAAGGAACGCCGTTCCACACCGCGACGGCTCGCTGCCCTGAGCCCTCTCATGACCTCAGGTGTGCAACAAGCACCACATCTGTACTCTGCAAACAGGGTGGAATCTTCATTGGGATTTCTTCCTCCTACCCCGGGGTCTGCAGAAGTACTGTAGATGTCAGCAGAACAGAATTCTGGGAGCGGGGAGAGGTACCAAGGTTTTAAAACATAGACGCCCAGCAACACTGCCCAGAGGGGAGGAGGCGGAGAGCCTGAGGGAGGCGAGAGGAGGCCCTGCCCGAGCTCTGAGCCTCGCTGTTCCCGTCAGCAGCGAGGAGCCCCAGGTACGTCCATGCCTTTTACAGACGGTCTTGCTACATGTGGCCATGTCCAGTGCTATTTTCCATTACCACACTCACCTGTCCGTGGTTTCCACTGTCCCCAGCTATGGACCGGGTGCAGTGGACAGGATACCTTGGATAAAACTACAACATTTGTCTTGGAAACCCCAACATACTTGCTCTGGCTCTCTTGCTCCCTGAGGGATGTCCCTTCACCGTAAAGGTGAGGATGAGTTGGCCTCGGCACAGAAGCAAAAGCGGTTCAAGCCCTCGGCGCCCCGTTGGGGGCTGTGGAGGCCAAGGCAGGACTTCCAGGAAAGGGGATGCTGAGCCGGGAAGGGTGGCGCCTCGGAGACGAAACGCCCTGGTGGTGGAGCTGGGCTGCGCCCAAGTGTGTGCCCCTTCCTGCCTTTTCTCTTGTGTCCACCAGGGTGGAGATTGCAAAGGGCCCACATGAAGCCAGAGGTGGAACCTAGCAGAGACATCTCTAATTAGCATGCTACTTGGGGGAAATTAGGTTTACTTGGGGAAATGGAGATAAGATTCAACATCCCCAACTATTTAACTCTCACCCAATTTTCTCTGCAACTCACTGCTGATCTCTTATCAGTGGGTCAGATCCTGACAGGAAAATGCAGGTGAAGAGGCTACAGTCAGCTGTCATCCCGCTCCTGCCCCTTGCTGTGCGGGGGTCTCACTATGATAGGCCAACAGAGTCTGTCTATGGCCTCTCAGCAACCCTGGAGCCTGAAGACAGGCCCCTGCACCCCAGGCACCTATTTTCAGACCCCACCTCAGGGGCTCTCTCTGGGAGATTGCAGGATGACTGTGAGTAGGTTTGGAATATCATAGCTCTGGTAATAATAATAACAATGTATCTTGAACCCAAGTTCAGCTGCCTATTGCCACAAAAACCAAACTCATGATTACAGATGCTGGTGAAAAAGGAAAGAAGTTTATTCAAGTGCCGGTCACTTGAGGAGATGGGGGACTCTTGCCACAAAGCCCATCTCCCCACCTCAGTGAAGGCAGAGGTTTTTATAAGGAAGGAGAGGGAAAGCAGAACAAAGAAATCAAGGAGAGTGGGTTGAAAAGCTCTCTATGTGCAGGCCAGCAGAGTTCATTCCAATAAGTATCTCAAAACTGGTCAAGGGATGGCCTGGTGTGTGTCATCCTGGTCTTTGTCATCTTGGTTCTACGCTTGAAGGTCAGCAAATGTCCTGGAACTGGGATGAATGAAGGTCCGAGACTGTATCTTCTGAAGTTAGTTCCTAGGATTCTTATACAAACATGCTGCTTCTCTACAAGCTACATATTAGAGTGAGCATTACAGAAACAATGTCAAAAGAATGGTGGGGTGGGTTACAATTCCCACTGTTACAAAAATAATAAATTACCTTTACTCACAAACCTCCTTTACTCATTTCTCTTATCCCTCCTTCTGGTACTGGGTTCTTTCCCTCAGGTTCTATCGATTTACATTTAAAATAATCATTTTGCCTTTTACCTATAGAGAGAATTTGCTCTTGGATCAGGACCTCCTAGAAAGTGTGGCAGAGGGGTCCACAGTGGTACCTAGGCACAGCTCAGCCTGCCATGCTTGTTTCTTTGTCCAGTTTCTTCCCATATGCTGAGGACCCGGGTCCATTCTCACCTCAGCCTCTGTTCCCTGCCCTGGGTGAACCATAGTGCGGGGTAGCAGTTAAGGGGTCGGCTTCTGAGAGTGACTGCCTTGGTTTCCCCTTAGCTCTGTGCTTTTGGCTGAGAAAGATAAAATCTTTGGGGTCTCAATTTCCTCATCTGTAAAATGGGGACAGTAAGAGTACCTATTCCATAGGCTGTTGTGGGGATTGAAAAGTTATGTGGATGAGAGTGTAAAATACTCAGGCTGGGGCCTGGCATGTAGTAAGCACTCCATAAATGTTAGAGATGTTATTTCTAGTGATTTAGCGACAGCTGTGCACAGCACCTGAGGATTGGTGTGCACCCTGTGCCTCGGTCCTCTGTGACACAGTGTACAGCAGTTGAGTTGACAGGTGAGAGAGAAAGTGATGGTGACCCGTCCCTGACAGCTCCAGACGAGAGAGCTGACAACAAATCTATGCCCAGTTGGCTTATATTTGCGAGAGTCTGATTGCTACCACAATTACAGAAGAGGCGCTGCTAATCAGCAGAGTTTTAAAACCCTTTAAAGGCAGATTTTATGTTATTGGAATTAAAAACCATGCATGTGTGTCATAGTAATAGAATCTGTGTAGAGCAGAAAGGCACGAAACAAAGCAGCCTTCATCTGGAGGGGCGGGGCTCCTGATAGCATTATAATTTTTAGCTTCGTGGGTATTCCCGGGGAACTTTTTGGATGCTGCTGGGAATTCCTCTTTGCCGGGTTTGGATGCGTTGCCCTGTGACTCACAGGAAGCCAGGCATCCTATAAAGGGCTCCGGCAGGAGCGGGGCTCTGTTCTTCTTGGCTGACTTGGCACCAGCCCGGCAAGAGCAACAGGACAGGACGAGAGGGGAGACCGGGGGACGCACCAGACCGGACAGGGAAACAACCTCTTCACAAACCCGTAAGACTCTGAAGAGTAGCCTGGGGCCAGGAACTCAGCCGAGGGAGGCGAACAGATAAGCAAAGGCCTCCTGGTGGGAGCTGTCGGCTCTCGCTAGGTTCAGACTAAAGTCTGGCTTTTCCCTTTGAGTAGGTGATGAAAATTTAAAGTCTTATTTATTCATTCAGGTGAACTTTTTCATAAAGGTCGCGGTGCTGGAGCCCTTTACCTGAAGCCTCACGAGGCTGCCACAAACAGCACTGTAGAACGACCGAGTAACTGGCTCCTGGGGTTTCCTTCTGTGATTTATTTTGTGCATCTCCTCCCCAGAAAAGCACGTCTGGTCCGACCTTTTGATGGAGAGAACTGCTGAAGCCATGACTGCTGCTTGGCTCCTCTCTGCTCTCACCTTCGGTAGGTCGATGTCATTAGTTAGAGCGGGGCCTCCTGTCCTCTGACGGGGTCCAGTGACTCTTCCTTGTGGGTGGGCACCCTGTGCATGGGAGGGCTTGGCAGCTTCCCTGTGTCCCTCCCCCCAGTGCGGTTTGCCCTGGAGTAGGGGCCGTTTACCTCTGTGTCTGTTTCCTTATGTGTTAGGTGTTGATCATAACACACCTAAGGCACCCTGAGGGGAGGGTTCAGTGCCAGGGTCACGCACAGGGCCTCAGGTTGTGCTGGTGGGTTCAGCAAAGTGTGGCTGTTCTGACCACAATCCCCCTGTAAAGTGGGCGGACCCAGGTTGTGGTGGGAGCAGGTGACACGGGTGCAGAGTCAGTCACAGAAGAAATGCACATAAACAGAAGTATCTTCATCCAAACCCTTATTTTTATTGATTTCAGAGAGAGGAAGGGAGAGGGAGAGAGAGAGAAACATCAATGATGAGAGAGTCATTCATCGGCTGCCTCCTGCACGCCCCTGACTGGGGATCGACCCCACAACCCGGGCCTGTGCCCTGACCCGGAATCGAACCCTGATCGCCTGGGTCACAGATCGACGCTCAACCGCTGAGCCACACTGACCAGGCCCAAACCCCTTCTTACTTTAGAAAAGGTGAACAGCCCTGGCCGGTGTGGCTCAGTGGTTGGGGTGCCAGCCTGCAGACTGAAGGGTCCCGGGTTCGATTCTTGCCAAGGGCATGTACCTCGGTTGCAGGTTTGGCCCCGGTTGGGGCACATGTGGGAGGCAACTAACCTATGTGTCTCTCTCACATCGATGTTTCTCTCTCTCTCCTTTTCACTCTGAAAAGCAATGGAAAAAATATCCTCAGGCAAGGATTTAAAAAAAAATCTGAAAAGAGAAAAAAAAAGGAAAGGGGAACAGAGTTTGAGTCACCCCAAAGTCCCCCGTGGGCCACCATGGGACAGCAGAGGCCCTGCTAACAGCTGCGGGAGCCCCGCATGCGGTGGCTGGAGTGGTGCACAGCGCGGGGAGCAGGGCGCGGTCGCCAGGGCGGGCGGGAGGTGTCGGTCCGCAGGCGGGATGTTTCAGTTACAGATGGAAAGAGTTACAGAGACGGAGGGTGGTGACGACCGCACCCGTTATGAAGCTGTTTAATACCCCTGAACCATGCCCTTGCGACGGTTAAGATGGTACATTGTATTTTACCACAGCAAGAAAATAGACAAGGAATAATGGGGGAAAGAAAAGCCCAGTTAAGGGCGTCAAACCGAGGCAGGGCTCACCCTCCCGCAGGACTCACCCTCCCCTGGGGCTCACTCTCCCCGCAGGACTCACCCTCCCCGCGGGACTCCCCCTCCCCCG